TACGGCGAGTGGAACAAAAATAACAAGTCCGCAATTAACATGGATATATAAATTATGCAAAAAAAGTGAATTTTGAGGTGCGACTTTGATAGCCGTTAGAGAGATGAGTGGACGCATTTGAATTAGTAGTATACCAAGGTATCCAGTGATGTAATTTTACCCACAAACGGACTTGAAGTTTTTAAGCTAATTTTTTTTAAACCACTTTTGTCCAAAAAAAGCATATTTTTGACCCAAAATCAAAAACGCATTCTGGATATTTAAAATAAAGACAAGTTTTACAAAGATTGTATAATAAGCTTTCAGAAAATATATAACATGTTGGATATATAATACCATCTTCATTGTCTAATTACTCAATTAAAAAGCAAGCCAAATAAACTTAGCCGATTGCTAAAAAAGTCATTCGTCATTTTTACGTGGATAAGAAAGAAATAGAACACTTTCCCTAGTATATTTGAAAGCGAAATCGCCACCCAACTGTAAAACAGTCGCTGATTAGCTCCTCAAGTATGACAAGCGTTCCCTACTGTTGTATAGATTCGTCGTAAGTGGGCTGGTCACAAGACAGCGCCAGCGAGATTCGAAAGCCAACTGTTTAGTCAAAACCCAAGCAGTTAGCCAATTCGCTAGCGAGTTTGCAAATTGGCTGCCCCAATACTTTCTAAGACTTGCTGTAACAAGACCAGTGAGTGATCCATTCGCAATTCTGACTGCTAAAATCTGTTTTGTTTGATTTACAGAGGATGTCACTCCAATTCCCTCAGACAGTACAAGAAGGAAGGGTGGTCGTCGTGGTCGCCGTCTCTAGAAATTTTACTCGTAATGCATATAAAATGTAAAATATATAAGTGACAAATTAAAGATCTGTTGTTTTACGGTGATTACTGTCTTTATGTATTGAACTTCCTTATATGCATTGGATGCTTAATTTGCATGTATTAGTAACTGTTTATATATATATATGTATAAAACACATGTTCTTAACCCAGTGAATTTTAACTTGTGTTCAAATGTTTCATCCACATATGAACCATGGCCAATAGAGCTCTGAACTAAAGGATTGTTTTGCCTTGACATCTGAGATAATGTATAAATGAAAGCTGCAGTGGCATTCTAGTAATAATGGAAGCTGACATACAACTGAAATTAATGTCAGTAAAACCCCGAGAAGTGTATGAATGAAAGCTGTACTGGTGTTCTCTTAACAATGTAGACATCAGTCTCAAACTGTTATCTAAATGAAATGTATGCTAAAAATAATGCATGTACGAGATACAAGGTTGCAGTGATGATACTTTGGTTGACAATTTAAAGAACTTGGATACATTTGACAAATGACCAAACCCATTTCAATCTATCATGCAATTCCTTTGCCTGAAAACGCCGCTCTCATAACGACAGTCTACAGAACAAGTCCAATTGTAGTTTCAATAAAATGTTTTTGCCAGATATTTGATCCGAACATAGCATGCAAGTACAAAAAATGTATACGGTTTAATTTGCGGCGGTGCTATTTACAGCACGCCAAATGGTTCTTGTGTTTACATCTGGTGTGGTTTTTGTGGTCCACTTGGCACAGTATATATAGACATTAGCCTTTGCTTTTGAGTTTTCTTCTGATCATGAAACAAGGCACAGGACTACAAATTACCTACCACAATTCTGACTTTTACTGGTGGAAACTAATTTCTATAATACTAAACATTTTCCAAGTTGTTTGTACATTTACAATGTGAATGTCAAATTTAGCTTGGTTTTGTGGAAGGGAATTGATAGAATTGTTAAATTACTGCCAAACACATGGAGTGAATCATTTGAAATCGGGGGTGGGGGTGAATATTTCAACGGGGAAAACAAATTTGCAAATGTACATTTGCCCCAAAAAAATCCAAATGGGGATAGTGAAAAAAAATTGCAAACATGTGTTTTAGAAAAACAAGTTAGCAAATAAAATTAAATTGAAAACAAAGAATAATCCCTTTTGGTGCAAGGTCAAAAGATTTCCACTCCAGATTTACTGTAACAAGGAAGAATGGAACAGCAATATTTTCAGTATGAAATACTGTTTTGCTAATGTAGCCATTTTTTTTAGCAAAACTGTGTCTTGTACTGCAATTTGAAGTGCGAGTCTTTCTAAAGAACACGGTAAATACGATGCAAAGAATTGATTGTATTATATTTATGTAAGGAATTGAGAAATCCCATTTTCTCTGTTCTTGAGAAATTTACGGCAAAGAAGATTCAGGCTTGTGTCGCCTGTGGTATTCTGGGATGGAACCGTAGCAAAAGCACGCACATACACAGTACAATGACAAGACAAACATGACCAAGGCTTATAGAATACTGACATTTTATTGAATTACATTTATTTTATAACGGCGCATACCAGATGTACATTAATTAGCATATCAATAGTGTGTACAAATCACTACATCTCCATTCACACACGTTTTGTCTTTAGAACATTGTTTGGTATTTTATGACAAATCCCAAATGACCAAGGTTATACATGCAAAACAGAATTGCCATATAAATACTGTTAACACTTAAATTTTCACAATTTTAGGATTATATGGTATTTGTGAAAAAAAAATGTCATGGAAATTACTAACATGTCATGACACGAGAGAAAGTTTCACTGCTACAGACTCGTGAAAAGAATGTGGTTTACAGTGTAGATTGATCCACACAATCTTTTGAATTTTTGCATGTAATTGAAATCCTTTACATCTTGAATGGTTACATGGACACTTTTCTCATGCTTATTGTATACATTTTCTAAGTGGAGCCAATCTTATGGAGTTACTACTAATTCATAGACTAATCTAACACTGAATAACATTTTTTTCAAATTGTAAACTGAGAACAGACTTCTCAAAGTAAAGTAAAGTGAGTATTGGTCACCAAATTCGGGAGGAGAATAACTCACTCAAGAGGAGCACTGTAACCAAGATGTTTACTTATCCCAAGTCCTTACAAGATGTTCTGAGCAATGTATCAATCATTGTGCAATTGACTAAATTTGTTTCATACCCTCAAATCATTGTACAAATATTGTAGATATTTGCAATGCATCAACAGTGACACGACCAATCCTTGATGGTCAATGAAGTAAATATAAGAAACCAGATAAAATATTACAAGTAAATGGTATCATACTCAGTAATTTGGTATTCGTAGTTTTCAATTGCTTTACTTTGTGGAAATTCCAATAACATCAAGAGGATGTTTTCCAATCATACATAAGTTATCTAATAGTTTTTCTTATTTTACTATATTTTCATTTATCCATTTATATTTCCATTCATAGTGTATTCAGTGTTGCATGTCATTTAAGAGTTTTCAACTAGGAAGTATTTTTCTGAGTTTTGGTGCATTCATCTCTGCCTAGATTTCTGTAGTGCCTGGTTTGATCAAAAAGAAGCCCAGCAACTATAATAAACTGTACACCTAAGCCTGTATTGGTGGGAGGGGGTACAGGCAGGTATTTAGTATATAAAAATAGAAAAAATAACAGCTGGTATTTTTTTCATAAATTAAATTTGATTTTTTTTCAATTAAAAAAATGTAGGATGGCTAGTACTTTTACCCCACGTCTATACATGGAACATGAAAAGTTATTTCAATTTATTATATCAATTTAGCAATTCCATTATACATTTTTGTTTTAATTCTGATATCAAATGAGTACTGCTCAGCAGCATTCACTACTTTTTTCATATATTGTAGTACATGAACCAAATTCCTTATT